TAAAAAAATACTGGGGTAATAATTTTTACTATACTAAGATTGAAGGTTGATGGAAGTTTAAATAAGGAAATAAGGAAATTCTACTTCGTGAAAATACTGATTTCCTTTCTTCCATGGAGTTTTGTAGAAAACGGGTATCTTCCCATAAAGAGTAAAGTATTTTTAGATGGGGATGTAATAAGAATAGTGGCCCACCACAGAAGTCCACATTCTAATTTCCAGAACCTGCAAATATATTACCTTAGATGGCAGAAGATACTTTCCAGATAAGATTAAGGTAGGGATCTTGAGAAAGGAGCATTATTCTTGGTTTCCTGTTGGACCCAAACTAATCAATCTCAAGGGTCCTTGTAAGCGAAAAAGAGTCAGAGGAGATGTGACAATAGAAGCGCTTTATTCCTCCAGCACACTTTAAAATCATTTGAAGTGGCCCTCCCTGGTGGCTCAGCGGTTACAGAAGCCCAGACCCGCTCGCTGCTCACTTAAGCTGATCACTTAAGCAGTGTATTAGGGTCAGTCAACCTGTTCTGCTCCCCACTCTGTCTCTAGTGAAGTCTCCTGCCGCCCCTGCACCTCTGGCCTATACCCCCATTCTGTATACATAAATAAATCTTTTTTTTTTTTAAAAAACAGTAATTACAAAGACAATTGACTTTTCATAGGCAAGAGAAGTCAGAACCTTGTAATGATTTTTATCTCGGAATATAGTAGACATCTTTGATTTACAGTCTGCATCTCTGATAATTACATCTGAAGTTCCATGGGATCTGTAGTTGGTTCTTCTAGTTATGTGTTATATATTGTTTGTGCAGTCCTCACTTACATTTCTTTTTTTGGCACTAGAAATCATAATTGAAATACTTGAAAAAATAATGTGAGGCTTATGTTGATTTTTTTTTTTCCCCAGAAAGGATTTTCATTTTCTTCTGGCAGGAACCTTGGAGCACCAACAAATAGATGATTAGGAATTTGAAAAGGGGGGTGACTTAATTTGGCTCACCCTTAATTACAGGTTTTGACCTTCCGAAGACCAACCAAAACAGGCTTTATCAGAGATGCCTGATAAACCTCCAAAATATGCTCCAAAATACGGAGCTTAGCGGTCCTGAGCTCCATATTTTGTTCCCCTAGATGTACAGCTCAACCTCCTACCCATCTTGGATCTGAAAATGTCCCCTCATGCTCTGAATGTGTAGACCCTGTTTTCTTCTTCAGCTTGTCCAGGTTTCTAACTCACTTTCTAGTTAGCCTTTTGATGATTTAAAAATTTTATTGTGTGTATGCCTCTTTATTTGATAATGTTCAACAATAAAGTATTTGTCTAGATCACAAAGAAAAATATATTAACAATGGCAGTAATAACAAAGAACTCTACTATTCATTGAGTACCTTCTGCATAGAAGCTTCTTTCATTCTTATAGTCATTCATGTATGTAGATGTAATATTATATACTTAGGCTCCAGTTCTAGATTTGACTAGCCAAGTAACCTTAGACAATCCCTTCATGAAGGTCCCCCTGAGTTCTGAAATTCTGTTATTTAAATCTATATGCAATTGAAAGTCCAAAGT